GAGAGAGAGAGAGAGAGAGAGAGAGAGAGAAGAGAGAGAGAGAGAGAAAAGAAAGTAAGAAGGAACGAAGAGATCGCAGAGATTTCCAATAGCGGTAATCTGAGTACGATGTCTGCGAACCGACTGAAAATTTACATTTAGGAGTCGAGTTGGAAGACGCTGAAGGAAGTGGCGTGGATAAGGGGGGTGGCGTTTCGCCGCTTGTTTTTATTTTCTAGCAATTTCCTCGGTGGAGCAGAACGGAAAGTGACCTTAAGGGGGAATTAGCACGTTTTACCGCTCTGCCGATTTCGCGCAATTCGTAAACAGAATTTATTTCCGTTCCTCCGTCACTTTTCAACGGTGTGGATCGACGTGATCGGAACGAATATCTTTATTTATTCGTTATTAAGCCTCACGTTATCCTAATATATTCCTTAACATATTATAAAATTTTAATATACATAAAATTTATTTTTGATTGCAGATTTTGCGTGGGCGACAGATTTTATCTCTGTGATAACAAAATCCTCTGCGAGTACGACTACGAGGAGAGGCTGGTTTTCGCCAATATGGCGCTACATCCTCCGCCAAGCGCGACTTTGGCGCACATCAAGAGACAAGTGACCCATCTTCAGCCACCGGTAAAAAAAATTTGTGCTTTTATTATTACGAAGCTCAATCGCGCGACGATAGAATGATACGTTTATAGAGAGAGCGCACGTCTATCCATCAACAGACATGTTTTCGTCGTTACAATCCATGTAAAATATAGTAAAATGCATCACGGAATCTCCTTTCTGGACCCTGGCCATCGGGTTTCAAACTCGCAAGGTTTCAAACTCCTCAAGGCGCAACCCCTTAAGGCGGGTTAAAGTGGCAGGTCGCCCGTCCTGACCCTCTCGACAACAAAGGACTCCCCCGGGGCTTCAGCTATGCTTTACCATCCTACCATCGTCTTACGAGTTAGGATATCGCGTGTCCTTATTAATTAAGCTCTGCCCGTTAAGCAAGCCTCGTCGCATGCCTTAACGATTTGCTCCTTCTCCGTCGAAGGCGGAACGTGCGAAAGAATTTACTCTTCACAAAGATCGTTAGACTTCCAAGAGCTATTTCGCGAAACTACGATGCCGGGAGATTATCATATATTCTTTTTTTTTATAGTCGCGAAGTCTTTATCAAACAATAATAAAATAATTTCAACAACTCTTATCACGCGAAAATATAAAAATCTTGAATCCTCCCAATCTTGAATCTAAGAAGTTAAATGTAACAAGAAGATGTTGTAAATTTAATTTTTCTTTTAAATTAAAACTTAAAGCAAAAATAGACTTAAAACTGCAGCAATAAGGAACGAATAACAAGCAACGAAAAGGGGCGATTTTCACGAAGAGGAACGTCCAGAATTATGAACTCATCGGCGTTAAGCTTGTTGGGATTAAGTCTTCTTGATTATCCTAAGGCAACAGCGTTGCTTCGAAACAATATCTTAAGCTTCTGCCGCGCGAAGGACCACGTTCTACTCGACCTTAGGAGCCTATCCATTTAATCCGGGTACCGTCTTGCAAGGATTTCACGTCTTCCTTGCACGATAACTTATCATTTTAATTCGCAATATTTATTTAAAAATAACAATTAAAATAATAATATCAATATATTAAAAAAATTCTCCTACATTATAACAGTATTAAATTTGCTATGTTTTATTTATATTCAACTAAATACAAATCTAAATATACAAAAATTTTCTATCTGAAAGAATTTCTCTTGAAATACGAAAATTAAGTTATCAAACTCCACCGCCGACAATCGACCTACTAACAATACCATTCGACCCTATCTTCATTATTAAAAGATTCGTTAAAGGATCGCGGTAAAGTGTTCGTCGTGAGAGTTTAAGCCTTCGAAACATCTCGGGAAAGCGATCTAAGAAGCGGTATAGATGCTCGCCGCACGCTCAAATCGTATGCACAGAATAACGAGGTCCTCGGCTCGATGATATCAAGCTCGGTAACGTGTACTACTTATAATATGCAAATTCGCTACCCTTAACCGCCCTCGCTAGCGAGCTGCGTGTAATTCAGGGGTTGGTAACCCTTGCGACTCTATTC